TCTCGAGAAGAAAAAGGAAGGAGCGAAAAAAAGTGATACGTCACGCGATGCACAAGCCTTTCTTTGTTCAACACGCAACTGCCAGGGCAATAATAGTGAGGCAAAAGGGCACCCCCGCCCCCTCCCCGTTCGACGATAATGCGAGTCTCGCGATAAAAAAAAATCGCCGAAAGTCGCGCCACGCACACGAGCGCCTATCCTTGAGTGCGCGAGTTTAGCAAAATGAGAGACTCCCCGCAGTGGACGTCGTGGTCGCCGCTCGGAAGCAAACTCACAATCGAGCAGGCAACAATACGAGCTGATATTGACGAGCTTGCAATCCGAGTCGGCGCTCAGCGCAACGTTCTCGCCGTTGCGGCGCGCTCACGTATATACGACTTCAAACCGCAACTGTACACGTACGAAGCGGACTTTACGGCAAGAGAAGCTTTTGCGGTTCTGCCTCCTCTCCTACGTGTGTAGAAACCGTTTGGGATCTTGCACGTTCACCTCGGGATTGCTACTTTGTTCTTAATACACTTTACGAATTTTTTACTGTCAAGGACAGACCAAAGAAGATGGAAACTTGACGATTTGCTGTAGCAAAGGAGCGCAGCTGTGTCTTCGACGATAAAACATGCTTTTATTGGGCTATCTCTCAGGTCGAAGAGCTAGCCAATGATAAATTCAATGCGAGCAACGTTGAATTCTTCGGAGAATAACAAAGGAAGGCGCAGGTCGCAGGCTTTATTCGCACAATCCGATATACGCGATGCGGAACACAAATCCCTCTTGGGACTCGAAAAAAAGAATTTTTTTTTGTTGAAACCATACTTTTTCGATTGTTATGTAGACTAGATGAGATTTGCACCTGAGCATTATTTTCCCCTGGAAAAAGTGTTGCGCGAAAAGTTGTTGCTTCGAGCGTAAAATATGGAATAATGCAAGCGCAACAACAATTTGAATCGTTGGCTATACTTTGAACATCTCGATTCATTTCTCGATTTTCGTGGCAGTTTTAATGCGCAACGTTCAATTTATTATCAATTCATTATCATCATTAGCTGTCCAAAAGCAGTTCGATTGAAAATATTGTTGTTCGAAATAAGACGATTCCCTCAACGCTCAAGTCCATTTTCCAAAACGCCCAAATCCATACTCAAGCCCTTGCCCGATCCCCCGAAAAAGGAAACAAGAGCAAAAATAGAAATTCTTCGTTCCTACCCAACGTATAATCGGGAGCCTCGCGGAGTAGAGGCCTCGGATGCCTCGGCACACGCATGCGAGTGCACAGATCGCGACGACGTCGCGCTGCACCCGTCCGAAAGAACGAAAAAATAAAAATAATAATGACAAGTAAAATGAACTTTTCTAACGAGACGTTTCGACTCTCGCGTACTCACGCGCGCGCGCACGTATTTGCGTACATGTACGCGCGCGCACACGCGCGTCGCGCACTTGGCGATTGCGCAGAACCGTTGCGCGAATATTGCTGGTTGCCCTCGCGCGTGTGCGCCAGCCCCCTTCGCGGAGCCGCAGTTATGAGTCGGTTACTTTGTCGAACGGTTGCTCACTCTTATTTCTTGCTCAGCCTTCGATACTAACGTGCGCTCCGTCGCCGCTGCCAACCTCGTCGTCTGCTCTGCGGACCTCCTACGCGGAAGACTCCTTTCTTCTTCTTTTTCTTTCTCTGAGCACTCTGTCGGATTTCGTCCGTTGCTCTGGTATCGATGATGACCGATTATGTCGTTGATGTTCATGAAAAATTTGTACGAAAGAAACAACCTACTCATCATCAATTCTTGCAAATACGATCATTGCCACAAAGAAACAACGAGAGAGAGAGAGAGAGAGAGACAAAAAAAGCCATCCTCTTTCAAAGCTCTGACATATCCGAGAGTGGAGTCGACCTATATCACTTGCACACACTCACACAGACTCGTCGTATACGAGGTAAGCGCTAATTTTCAAACTATAGTCAGCTCCGCAAAGCACACTCGCGCGTTACATAAACCGTAGCTAGAGCGCGTCGTGTTTTTTTGTTTTTTTTTTACAAAGCCGCAACAAAGTTGTCGTGTCTGCTCGCGCGTGTGCTGCCAGCCGCGCGCGTACCTATTTCGTCATGGAAAAATTACTCTTATAAGTAGGCCGGGAAAGCCGAGAGTAAAAATCGAAAATTTTCAGTGAGCGTTAAAAAGTTACGTAAGCCACTTGCAAGTACACACTACGATAACGAGCTTATCTATCGCGGTAAGCGGCTTGCTGGAACAATCACGCGGCTGTGCGTTTTATCGTCGTCGAATTCCCGTCAACTTTTCACGCCTTCTTTCTCTCTCTCTCTTTCTCTCTCTTTTTCGCTGATTACTTGAAACGTTTTTAAATAACGACGGGGAACAAAATCAGCACCGACGAGTTTTCCGTCGATCTTACGAGGACGCTGACAATGAGAGTACGTTGCGAACTAAAAATCAAGATCACGATGCATTTATTACGATTAATCATTCATTATCGAGCTATTAACCAAGGAACGTTTTTAGAAAAGAAAGCCTACTTTCCGCACGCGCGCGCTTTCGACAAATAAAAAATAAGTACTTACGCGGCAGCGGCGGTCTATAATCAGCTTTTGTTCGCTCGCTCGTGAGAGCGATAAGATGAACATACTGCCGTGGTAGATAAGAGCTCGGTCTGCGTTTTTAAACGGGAGGCAAACGAGTGTATATTTTTTTTTTCTTCTCGTCGCCGATGTCGCAACAAATCGATTAATCGCTCGCCTATGCTGCGCTTTATTTACGTGCAGAGAATATAATCCGCCGCGCGAATTTTTACGACGACCGATCGAAGATAAAAACGAAACGAAGCGTCCGTCATGACAAGTCGCGCGTAAAGTGCATAATGCCTTTTATCATTGGCTGCGCGGCGCGGCAGCAACAGCGACATCGAACCGTTATTACGGTCAAGGCGCTCACCTGTCTACGCGAAAATTCACTCGGCGGCGAACGCAGATGCCGAGCGTTAATCGCAATCTCATTTCCGCGGCGACGACGACGACGACGACGACGACGACGACTATGAGAAGCATGTAGGCTTGGCAGCGCCGGAAATTAATTTTCCAAGCTCGGCGCGTCGTTGCCCAAGAGGAGAAAAGTTCGTCGATTGCGCGGCCGTGTTGAAAGTTTTCGTGATGTGTTTTGGAAATGGGATTGTTTGTTGCACCTTGCGCAAGCTTCCTTTCTCGTTCGCGACCGACTGTAGGAAGTTTCGTGCGCGCGCGTGTCACGGATGAAATGCATATTTCGTCGACAGTAGCCTCGCAAGGGGAGCATAGTGCCAATTGCTCTCTGACACGAGAAAAGTGATCGAGTCGGTCGGCTGCAAACTCGACCGTGTTCTCGCGCTGTATACTCGCAATTTCAAACGATCGAGATGGAAAACCTTCGAGCGCGCGCGAGAGTAACGCAATTAAAAAGTGAATTTCGTCGTGACCACGCATGTTTCTCTTTCTCTCTCTCTCTCTCTCTCACTCCCACATAACAATTTCCACGATATTAAGCTGGAAAAAGAGCGCGAAAGTAGCACACGTAGTCTAGTCATTATGAGTAGCGTTTCTTTTTCAACGCACGTGCTCTCACGTGCCGCGCGCAAGGAATAGTTCCCGCAATAATTCCACTTCCGGCGCAATATTATACACGGCGGTTACGTCAGCACAGAGACAAGTAGTAGTAGCAGTAGTAGCCTTGGGATAGCCGACGCGGGGAGAACAGGAAAGGGAAGCTGCGAGGACGCGTCTTGCCTTGCTAAATTCCCCTCTCTACTTTTTTTTTAGACTGGCAAATGCAGCTTGGCCGCTTATTCTCTCGCTGTCTGGTTAATTTTACGAGTTTTTCCGCGACCAATGAATATGACATATCGAACGTTTATGAATTATTCAACGGCTCGTCAATCGTACTTCACGTGGCACGTAAAATAGTGAAAAGCGTTGCACGTCCAAAGTCATAAACGACGACGATGACGACGACGACGCTTGGAAGAATATAGCGACGAACGAAAGAGACCCTTCATTAGCATCAAGACCTTCTCTCTCGAGCGCGAGGCATATATAGATATATATGTACGTAATAATCTGAAGGGGCCTTGGGGAGCACGAATCGAATGCTATGCTTAGGCAGCAGCCAGAGTATTTACGTAATTTTTTTATTTTTCCCGTCGACCGACACAAAGCCCATATCGCTTGTGAAAAAAACAGATCGCGAGCGACCTCAACGATCCTGTTTAGACTTTTCTTTACACGTGTGTCTGGAGGACGAATTGATTGTTTGAATATTTTTATTTTGTACTATCATTGGCGCGCATGTGTGAAGTTTTGATGATTTGGTAACAGGTGCGATGTGACGACAACCTTTCGTTTCGAAATGTACTTTTCGTTTTGAGTCTATGGTATCCATAGGCATCTTTCGAAATTTAGTTTGTTGCTCGGAAAATCATCGGTTATATTTCATTGAAAAATCACATAGTGAAAATATAACCAAGAAAACTCAATAAAAAGGTTTAGGAGTTAATAATTTGTTTTGGAACTAAAGATTTAAAAACCAAAAACTATGGTTTATTCATCAAACTTTAAAGTTTAATCAGCGAAAATATTTTCTTTGTTTCGAACGTATCATCACGAAAAATAACTACGCTGATTCGATTTCCTCTCAAATGATTTCACAAAATCCATGTCGCGAGAAGGAAAGAAAGAAAAAAAAAACGACCATTCATTTAAGCTATTCACCACATGAAATTCCCATCAGTTCTCCGCCCGTGAAACCTACCCATAGCTCAAACCCTTCCCTTCAGTTTAGTTCACACATGTGTATATGGACAAAGGCGCACATACACGTACACATGGGAGGATGGAAGAAGCGCTCGACGAGAGAGAAAAAGAGCGGCAATGCGGCTGCGCAGGCGCTCTACGTTCGGGCTATGTGAGTCAAGGACGACACGTGCGGCTCGAAGCGACCTACTTACTTCCTGCGCGCGCGCAGAGAGCCGAACTTTCCCGAACGAATGCGCGCCGCCAGAAATGGGACGACGACGACGCCACCGCCGCCACACCACCACCACCGCATCGCCGCCGCCGCAGCAGCAGCAGAGCGCGACACTCTGCCGGCGTGTGACGAGCTGCTGCTGTTGCTGTGCGACTTGCCTTCGTTGCCGAATGAAAGAGATTTAGGTTCGTTGGTCATTTTTTTCTTATTTCTACTAATTTTCACGTTTCTTTGTGATTCGGAAATACACGCATTCCCATTGTAATTCCGAAAAACTTTGTTCGTTTGAAAGTGTACACTGTTGCCACGTGATTCAAAAATACACACGCATACACACACTTACAGTTGCGCGCAAGCGGCAGCATAGTAGTTCCCTTCTCTAACGTAACGGAAAAATACTGGTTGAAAGGAAAGAATTAAAAAGAAACGTGGTTAGATTAGTTTCTTCCGATCGTTTGTGCTACTATACAGTCGCATGAAATCTTTTTTAATGTGAGTGTGACATTGTTGGAAGAGTGAATTCCTCGGCGGGAATGTCAAACAGTATTATTTATTTATTTTTACGAAAATTTCCGTGAAACGTCTAGTGTCCTCTTGTAAAACCGAAGTTTTATCGTAGCGCTGAAGTAAAATTTCATAAACTCATCACGCATTGTCGATTAACATTTTTCTAGCTTTTTTCAAAGTGAGTTTACAAGCAGCAGATGTAGAGCACGTGCTCTTTCTCTTCGCATCTCTTCCGAACCGAAAGTATGAAAGTTCACGAGCAGCAGCAGTATAATTTCCCATGCATACACGTAAAGTTGAAAAAAGAACGAGAAGAATTATCCTAATCGCGCGTGTGTAGGGCTTTGTTCTTTGTCCGGAAATCGGCGCCTTTGTCCTCGTGTCCCAGTTGCTCGCTCGGACGATCGATAGAAAAATGGGTCAAAGGTTGCCCCGTTCTCTCTTCTTTACAAACGAAAACTAGGAGGGGGATTGATACACGAAAGAGGCGGCCCTTTTCCGTCCAAGGAAAATTTGGAAAAGCGACGCGTGGTGGTAGTCGGTCAGCAGGCCGTGCGCGGGGAATAAGTAGCGCGTCGACGCGCATGGCACAGCCAGTCGTTGCGTGTCGCTTGGTGAGATCACTTCGTCGTCGTCGGTCGGATATATAATATTGAAGCAAAAGCTCATGGTAACCTACTGTCGTGAGGCGCGTGCGCGAATGGGCGGTGCTAGCACAGTCGCCAACGGGGAATTGTCGGTGGTGGGGGAAAGGGGAGTCGAGTGCTCGGTGGCCTGAGCGACGAGCATCCTCGTTTCCCGCGGACCGTCGTCCGAGTTGGTCGTACCTTCTCTATCTTTTTGTCACATAATTCGAAGAAAAGCTACTCGCGCGTTGGTTTTTCGAACTTTGAACAAATTTTGTCGTGTGTGGAAGAAGACTACTACTTGTATATCCGCGATCATTCATTTGTACAACTAGGTTTCCAGCGAGTTTACCTTCTTTGTGCTCTACATTCAAAAGGCGTGAGACACGTGTGCTTTTCTAATATACAAGTGTCGTCCACGAAGATAGAACAAAGAGAAGAATTAAAACCAGGAATGGCAAGCATCAGCGGAAGTGTCTCTCGCGGGCTCTGGGTTTCCAAGATGGCTTCACGAGAGCGCGCGCTCACACTCAGTGTGGGGCAGTCAGCGCGCACAGAAGTGTGACGCAACGGTCACGTGACCTGATCGTGCCAGCTCGCTGCTACGAGGCAAGGCGGCAGCAGTAGCAGCAGTGGATCGCAACTCAGCGTGTGATCACGTTTCCAGCGAAAGGGGCAGGAGAGACAACGTTCCTTTACACACAAGCGCGCGCACACACACAGACACACACGTTCCGTTCTTTTTTTATTCTTGATATATTCTTCGTCGAGTCAGTGGGGGTGAGAAACTGGCTTGGCTGGGTGATTTAACCTGCGTCAAAGCGGGGCAGTCAGTCTTTTTCTCTCTCCTATTGGCTCGGCGAGACTTTCATCGTTTTCTCCATCATCAAGCAAGAAGTAGCAATGAAGATACAAGATTCAACGTACTGTCGACGTTTTAGGGAAAAGTCGTGTAATAAAAAAAGCACAGGCTCAGCAGTGAAAATCGTGTTCCCTTAGACCGTAAAACGCCACTCTTAGCGCGGATTATTACTCTGGCTTTGGGTTCACGGCAGACACTGCGGCGAGTTATCTGGCTAGTCTACTTTTTACCGACTTTTTCTCCCTCTATTTTTCACTCTTATATTCATCGATTCTGTCATTGTCTTTCATTGCACGATTTCCCATAATTTTTTTATGTTATTTCTGTGTATTTATGATAGTTTCATACTCTCATATCATTGTAGAACGCGAGAGAGCGAAAGAAAAAAAGGCGTACAAACAAAATCGTTCGAACGCGCGGTTGGTATCGCGAGAGCACGCACGATAGCGGCAAAAAATGTAGGTTAATTCTAGAGTCGAGTCTCTACACATTGCTGCTTTGGTTGCCTTTCATTCGGCCTCGCTTTTACAGGCATCAGCTCTATGTGCCTCATTGTCGCGGCTCGCGCGCAAAGGAAAGCCCATCGAAGGGAGAGAGACAGACCCGTTCACCGCTTGCACTTTCTAAACCCGCTTACTTTCCGCTTGTACACCTGCGTCTTTCGCGAGAATAGAGCTTTGTCAGCTGCTGCCACTTTTGTAGATTTATGCTTCTAGCGCCCAATTGTGGCTTTGACTTGCTGGTATATATAAGTTCAGACAAAGTCAAAAGCCAACGAGTCCAAATTCTCAGTATCACTTCGTATGAAAGTCAAGTAAACACACGCGCGTGTTCTTGGAAACAACGAATGTCGTGCATATCTGTGTGTACGGCATGTCGTCAACGAAACTATATAAATATAAATGCAACATTCCACATTCTCTCTCTTGTATCTCGTTAAGAACAAAAGTCAACGATCAACACGTACGAAAGAGCATTTACTTAAGAGAGAAAGATGTAAAAGAACATCACGATGTATAAGGAGTCATTGTGCGCGATGTTAATTTATGTTAAAGGAGACGCGCGCTCGCGCTTACACAAGCATCTCTTTCCTTCGATGTTTCCATTGTCTGTAAGAGAGCTATCTTATGTCTATCGCGCTCACAGATAAAAGAAAAAAATGTTTCTTTTTGTACAAATTATTTGCTGATGTATATGTCCAATGTATGTCACTATTCTTTTTTCAGATCATTCATGTTTTTTGCACAGTCATAAATGCTCGATTCGGTTTATAATTAACGGTCCAAAGCAATATATCGCCAAGAGTCGAGAAGCTCATCTCAGTCATCAACTGAAGAAATAAAAAAAAGACACGCCAGGTGCAATCTATAAATGCAATTTTAGCGAGAGGACAACGAAAAAGAGTTGCACGTGGCTGTAGTCTTGTGAATATACATACAGCAAGGAGGAAAAAACGCTAGCGCCATTTTCTCTCACGCGCGACATAGAAACTCGCGAGTGAGTCGCGCGCAGCCATCTCTCTTTGCATCTCGGTCACGTAACGCGACCGAATATTACCGGCATAATCCTCTCCCGCAGGCCTTGCGACAAGAATTTAAAAACTCTCTTGCCCGTGTACGTCGAAAAAACTTGCCTGCACGCCTCGCACGTATATACATACGTATTCTTTGCGGGTAAGTTCCCGCGGTGCACGCGTGCAAGCGGGTTCAGGGATTTTTGGGATTTTCGAACCTCGCTGTTCGTGACGGTTTTTGCGTTGCGAATGGCTGAACTACCTGCGTAGTTCGTTTCTTACTTTTCCTCTGTGCAATAATCGAGGAACGAACATCAGCGGGATTTATTCGTGGAATACTTTCTGATTCCAACGGCAGGTGCTGTAGAATGAGTCGGAACAAGGGGAACACAGACCAGCAGTTTTCTTGCCAATTGAGCATTTCACGAAGCTTACCGATTCCTTTCCCGGTATCGTGCGCTAGAATCATCGCGTTAACCTGTAATTTGCCATGCCTGTTTTGCCAATTGTGAAAAGGCCAGTGCACGTACAAAATCTATTCGCTCAGCGTCTCCAATACAATTTAAAGACGTGTCAAAGCCATGTGTACTCGTCGACGGATCACGAAGTAGAATCCACTGTAAAGGAAAAGAAAAACCAGATCGCGCACCCTTTGGTCGGCCAATAAGATCGACCGAAAGCGAGCGCTTTCGCGAATTTCACGGTGAGTAATCGTCTCTACCTTGATACGAAGCTCTAACTTCAAATCGTTCTGTTGGAATACGAATTGCTGAGATATATTTTTCTCACGCCTCTTTATACGCGCGAGAGATTCGTGCGAATTCCGTCCGAAGTGCGACACGCGCTCCTCTTTCATTCCGAACGATGGACGCTCCTCTTCGTACGCACGTGTTCCCAGCTGCCGCGGCGGACGGCACGACACAACTTGTTTCAGCAAAACGTGCGTTAAGACCGTACTGAAAAATTCGTTCCGCACGCACGCAGATTTCCATCCGTCGCGACGAAAACTTTGACAAAAATGCGTATAACGGTAAAATAGTTCGAACGTTATCTCGCAGTCGACTGCTAGATAAGATAGAGGAGAGAAACGAAATTCTTGAATATTCTATATAGTATTCCTTATCACTAATCGATCTCCTGCTACACAGCTCGACACAAAAGAATTAATCCACAATCACAACTACAATTAATCTCGACGCGATGGATATTTTCCGACGAAATAAATCTCTCGGCGCGATCTCGCAACAATATTGCCGTACAGGAATGTTGTTTTTCAGTCCGTTTTAACGACAGAGACGCTCGTTGCACAACGAAGCGAGTCGAGTCTCTTCGGGCTCGACGATAATTGACTCGGCTCGTGCGCACATGAAAGAACAAAAAATAGTGTCTAATCGCAGTGTAAATCGAAAATTCGCGATAGACGTTATAACAGGCGCACGCGTACTTCTTCGACTGATAATACGTACGTCGACGAAACAAAAAAGAGCTGTTTCTGTTTTCGTTTTTATTTTTTTTTTTTTCATCTTGGAAAATGTTTTCCGGGTTGAATGCTGGAAAAGGCGACTACTGATTAGTCTCGGAAGACGTGGAATGCCGAATGTTCCATTTGTCGTAGCAACTGTTTATTGTTGACTGAAATTTCGCTTCCAATGCAAAGACGTGAAATTAATTAATGCCAGCAGGTAACATCAAATTTGAAATGTTTCGGGCAAAATTTTCGGGACGCCAATTGGAGTCATCTGATATTCCGCGTGGAGCATTTTCCAAACAGATCGCAATGTGAATTGCCTCAAAAACAGTCTTCTACCGCAGTTATACTTTTCCAATTTTTAAGCCAAAAACTTGGCAATCGCACATCTCTCTGATCAAACATCCGACGAAACGACATGATTTCCGCGAAATAACCACCCACAAAAAGAGCACCACAACGCGCAATATTATACGTGCAGTAACGAGGAATTTCCTCATTCTGCTCGATAACAACGTGACTCTCTCTCTCTCTCCCTGTCGATCTAATCTCACCGAGAGCAAGTAGCAGCGGGGGAGGCGAAGGAAAAAAAAAATAAGGCTTGAAGTCAAAGAGACTTCCGGTCGGCGAATAAATTGCTCGCTCGCTGGCTCGCTGGGGCAGCGCAGCTGCGATAAGATAGCTTTCTGCAGGTATCAACGAAATCGGAGCAGCAATGACGATTCCCTTTTTTTTCCTTCTGCAGCGCAGCTAACAATTCTCTTCTTGCTCTTCGGATTTAGTTGAGTGTGAAATTGCCCGGAGCCGCCTTTATCGTTAGAGTTATTTTTGCGGTTCTACGATCTTTTTTTATCGTTTAATTTTATCGCTCGTTGTTTCGTAATGAATTCGAAAGAATACAACGCTCGAGTATTTGCTCACGCCGACTGATCGCTGCGGAAACACTATTTATCTGTCATTGGAGAGGCTAAGAGTCGCGCCTATTAGTAACTGATTGTGTCGTTTGAGTTTTGCTGAATCACAGAGGAGAATCGATGACGCGCGAGACATTAAAATTCTATGGATTACATTTTATCAGTTCTCCGCTGATAAAATGAGCTTCGTTGGAGAGTTGATAAGACGCGCTTCAGAAGCACGACAATCATTTTTAATTGGGAGCTCGCTCGCTTATTATTTCGCTCAATTATATACAAATTAATTTCCGAAATAAATCTGCGCCGCACAATGAATGAAAAAAAAAAAAAAAAAAAAAAAACAAACTAAGCAATCGTCAATTGGTCGCCTATTATAATAAGCACACCGACAATTGATTGCGAAACGCAACCACTCAAGCACTCAATAATAATTTCAACGTTGCAATCCTCATTAGCATTCTCTTCTTTGTCTTCTTCGCTCGTATGCAAAACCAATTCCCCTTCCCTGAATATCCGCGGCAAAACCACTTCTTCTTATCGGCCGTTCGACCCTTAAAAAGCGCCCGTCGACGTCAAAAGGAAAGGGGAAAAAAAAGGAATAACGGTACAACGCAGCCTCCGAGTTTTCGTCGACGAGGCAGTCGATCATCGAAAGGCAATGACGCGTGCAGAATCTGTGCTGCTGGCGCGCACTACCGCGCACGTACATGGCGAGCGAGTGCGTTGGAGCTCTCTTATGCGCGAGTTTTTTGCGCTGGAGCGGCAGTAGCTCGAAGCCACGGCGGCCAGCGGTCAATTAGCCGCGCATATCAGCCAAGTGCTGACGCGTGTAATTCCTCTCGCGCGCACACGGAAACCCTTTGAGAGAGGACGGCGCATCGAGGCCACGAGGGAAGCCCTTTCGCAGCTGGCACACCTCGCGCACGCCACGAGTCTGCGCGAGAGCGTCCGATTCGAAGGACCCGACGATCGGGAGGATGCGAGGCTGACCCCGTAAGTTTCGCTCTGCACCTTTTCACCTCGTAAGCTCATCCGGAACTGGCTCCGGTACGTCATTCGAGAATCCTACGGAATTTCCTGAGCGCTCGCCCATTCGACGTAGTTCACGAGGGGCAAGCCTAGAAATAAACTATCGCGCGCGAAGAAAAAAAAAAAAAACACGCTCAAATGCCTGCGAGTGACTCACGCGCGTCAAGTCATATATTCGAATCGAACCGCGTAATCTTGCAACGATGCGTGCGCGACCTTGCGACATGGTCGTCTCGACCGTCATATACGTGTGCATTCCTCGATTTCGCGTTGCGTGGAAAGTAAATTTGCTGCTGCTGGCCTCCCCGTGTAAAAAGAAAGTCTGGCCATAGACTGGCTTGGACAAGTCTGGCGGAAGTCTGACTTTGGCCACTATGCCAGACTTTTTTTTGACCCCCAGAAAAAGTTTGGGAACTGCAACTCAGACTTTTTACCATATTATTTGCTATCAAAACTATTGCCATTCTAAGTATCTTCAATCTTTCGTGTAAAACTTTAACAGCCTTTACCAATAAATATTTTAATAATTTTTTCAAAATAATCTATGTAATTACTCAGTAAAACTACTTACGTTAATTTTCTTAAATTATTCTTATTAAATATAAATCTGACTAAATTTAATTGAAGATTAATAAAATCGAACGTCTGAGTTGCTGCTCTCAGACTTTTCTCGAGGGTTAAAGAAAGTCTGGCATAGCGGCCAAAGCCAGACTTTCGCCAGACTTTGGCCAGACTTCTTTTTTTACACGGGTCAGCCCAGCGTTCTCTTCTTCCTTCGCTTTGATATGCTTTGATTTTCCGCGTTCCATTTTAGTTTCGTTTGAAAACGCTTCTTTTTTTTCCTTTGTTTTTTTTAAGACCCAGTAAAGCCGCACGATTCCCGTGCGCGTCGCGGAAATTAATCGTCCGGGAGTCATTTGTAATTTTGACGTGTCCGAAATGAAATTCCCTTGTGTCTTTTTCAGAGAGTAAAGAAGAAAATAGCGACGAAAGAGTGACGGTGAAGAAGACAAACCGAGGGCAAAAGAGCGAACAAGTAAATCGCGAAAACAAAAGAGCAAATAAAATACGCGAGAGAAAAATGTCGGAGAAGGAAAAAGAAATGCAGCGGGAGTTGGAGATGCTGAAGAAAAAGGAGAGAGAGCGCGAGAAGGAGCTGGAAAAAGAGCTGCAGAGGCTGAAAGCAAAGCAGGTGAAAAGGGAGAAAGAGCTGGAGAAAGAGGTGGAGAGATTGCGGAAGAAGGAATGCCAGATAGAGGAGGAAAAGAAGAAGGGAATCGAGCAGAAGAAATTGAAGGAAAAGCAGCTGGAAGAGGAGAGGGAAAGGGAAAGAGAGAAGCACAGGGAGATGGAGAGGCGTAAGAAAGAGGAGAAGGAGAAGCTGAAGGAACTGGAGAAGCGAAAAAAATTGCAGAAGCAGAAAGAATCGGAGAGCAGAAAGGAGCTCGAGAGAAAGGAGAGCGAGAAGATGAAATTGGAAAAGCAGAAGGTAAAAGAGAAGAAGGAAGCTGAGAAGCAGAAGAAAGAGGCGGAGAAGAAGATGGAAAGACAGGCGAGCCAGCAAAAGGGCAAAGAGAAAGAATCGGTTTCCGTATCGATGACCACAATCGACAAAATCAAAGAAAAGATCAAGTGAAAAAGAGACATCCTTGATTAGATATTGCTAATTGGGTAAAAGTACAACAGTCTGACATTGCCAATTACGGATTTCTTCTTATCCTTCTCGGACGACCGAAAGTATATATTCGTTTTGCTGTTGTCTATTGAAACCTCATGTATAAGCTCCCGGTGAAAAGAAACGATAGTATGCTAGACGCACTATTGTTTCGATAACGTCTCTATTTTATTAATCGATCCAAGCACCGTTCAGCATTAACACTACCTCGTAAGCGTTCAACTAATGTGCCTTCAATTTTTTATACTTTTGTAACTGAAAACTTTCGAAACTCGGCGTTTCCACCGAAACGCGCTGTAACCCCGTAAGAATTTTATCCCTTGAATAAACTGACTTTCCTGCAAAGCTCCTCGTTTCTTGCCAATCAATCCCCGAATCGCGGGCGTCTTTCCGCCCGAACGGGCGGACCAAGCGAATAGGCTCGCGCAAGTGCTTGCGCAACGACAAGATACGGCCGCGTCGCGCGAAAGTGTGCCGGTCGCGCGCAATGAATTCGCGGCACGCCGGCGGCGCTGCACCGGTGGCAATGATTACCGCGCCGAGAGCTCCTCCTCGGCGTCGTCTTTGTGTGATAAATAGCCGTGGCACGCGCGAGCGCGAGACGAGGGACAAATAATTCAATGGCTCCTTTTCATATTCGAGACGCGCGACGCGACGCGATAACGAGGAGCGCGAGCGCGTCCGTTCGTCGCTTGGTCGCGAGCCGCGGCTCGATTTTCAGCAACTGCTCCGCGCCGTCCGCGAGAGCCTTGCATATCTCGTCGGTCGATTATGGAAGTGGCTCGATACGTCTCGATTCGCATCGGCGGCCTAGCCGCGTGCCCGTACGCGTACGACAACGAGCCGCCAGAGAAGACAATGAGATCGGCAGATATCGTCGCGAGACAAAGTCGTCCGAAAATGCGCGCTCGCAACCTCGTTGAATAAAACATCCTCCCTCTCTCTCTCTCTCTCTCTCTCTCTCTCGTGTGACAGGCCGCGGCCTAGACATCTCACTCTTCATTAGAAATCTGCAAGTGTAATCGGATCAGCCGCGCAACTCAGCAGTCGAGAGAGAGCAGGCAGAACAATATCGTTGACGCGCGCAATAGATTTTCCAAGTACCATTCCCTTGGCCATGCACGGTAATGGGCGAGCAAATAAACAATCGAGCGATCGGCGCGCGCGCAGCAATTCATCTCCGAGCGGCTCCGCCGCGGAATGCGCAGCGCGAGCTCGCTCTTTAATTACGCTCGATTTCAAAGTATAATTTTGCACGAGCGCGCGCGCGCGGCCCCTCCCCCCTCTCGAACGGACGCTGATTCAGCTCTCTCGAGCGCACTCGGAGGACAAAGTAGAAGGAAGGACGGAGGAATGCAGGAAACAGGTAGTCTCGAATTCTGCATCATCCGCGAGAAATAAAATTTCGATTGCGTTTGCGAGAGCGAACCAACTAAATTCTATGCCTCCGTCGGCTCGTCTTTCGCGCGTGCACTCGACTCCGCCGAGCGATCGTCGCAAGAAAGAGAAAAAGAATTGTACGAGCGCGCGAGGTACAACTTATTAACGTGGACGGTGGACATTCGTCGTTGCGATTGACAAATAGTAAGAATCATTGAGAGTTGCTTCGATTTTTCGTCGTTGTTGCGAGTGATTAACGATGCACGATATTGATTTGCGTTCTTCGCGAACGATTGTCTTCACATTTTCGAGGCTCGCGAGTCGTTTCGTCTCGGACGCCGCGGACAGTTGGCAATTTTATAAACGAAAGGATCAACGTTGAAACGTCAATTTCACCTCGCGTCCATCGTGACCCGAACTTTTCCACTTCTCAGAGTCCGAACGTACGGCAAAAGTCAAAGATTTTGCAGATAAAAATTCCAAGTGGCAGAGCTGGGCGATCGCTGCGGAATTCGGCAGGAGAGGGAAAGCGTAGATGATAAAACCCAAGATAGCGAGGCGTAAGCGAATTTAGGGGAGAAGGTAGGGCAGAAGAGAGCCTGCGAAAACTTTCACCCTCGTTCGGCCCAGATATTCAAGATGGCGTCGCCGCGAAAGAGAGAGAGAGAGAGAGAGATCGCCGAAAGCTGCGGGGGTGCAGGCAAACCACGCCCTGACACACTACAATCTCATCTCCGGGCCTGGCGCGCGCGCGGCTCGCCTTTTTCAACTTCCAGACGGAAAAATGCCCTGGCGAATTTGTGACCCATTGTTCGCCGAGCTCGACCTCACGCAGATAAGGGAATACGATGAGAGAAAGGGGAGAACAAGTTCTTATCACTCGGGTAGCCTTTGATTGCTTGCCGAGCAATTATCGTACTTTTTATATATTTATATTTCAGCGACAGGATTAGTACAAAGATTTTGGAGGAGGATTATTTTATTTTGGATATATTTGGAATACCCAAAGAAGTTTATTTAAGATTTTCAAAGTTCCTCTGTTGGTGCAAATGGATACGTTGGATCACACGCAATTTTCGATTTGTAAGCTTTGAATGTAGAATTAAAAAAAAAATTTTAATGGATCTTCCATTAAAAGAATTGTTCCATAGCGTCAAAATGAAAAATCCAATGCGTCCCTACTGACATCTATAATTGCTTGATCAAATTGAGAACCAAAGAAGTGTCGTAGAGAAAGCGTAAAAATTGACGTAGAGAGTGAAGTTTAGTTGAATTTCACCCTCGGATCCTGCAAGGAAAGCAGCCCCCTTGAGTCATAAAGTCAAGCTAGGGGAGAGCTACTTTATTGAAGTGAATTTGAAGACTCGAAGCACAAGGAACAGAGGAGGCTGATGCTGCACACGCGCGCTAATGTTAGATGCTGCAACGGCTGGCTGAAGCCAAGGGCGCATCAAGGACACAACTAAGTCCATCTCTCTCTCTCTCTCTCTCTCTCTCTCTCGCTCTTTTCGCTCCGTTTGTTTTCATCCGTTTCTTTTTAGCTGTGATACGGCTGCTGCCGTCTCTGCGCTGTTGCACGGCTCTCGAAGGGCGTCCACTTTTTGCCCGGCGCGCGTAATGATGCACTCGGCGGTGGACACTTTTCCCAAATCATATTTCCCAAGGACTGTTTTCCCAATGCCCCTTTTTCCCAAAACCGTTTTTTCCAAAAAGTGCCATTTTTCCCAATATGCTGATATTTCCCAAAAATAATATAATCAACAATACATTCAGTAAAACCAATTTATTAACTTTCTAGAATTTAATATTATAACCAACAGCTTGTAAGTACGCATATATATCGTCATTGCATACATATTCATGATACTTAGTGACGATCCCAAAAATTTTTTCTTCAATTTCCCGTCTTTTTTTGTCGGTACATTTCTTTACGCGCTTCCCCAGCTGTAACTGAAGTAGCATAATCTCCACGTCTGCCTGTTCTTTTTTCAATACGTCAAAGAACACGTATAAGCTGGGGTGTGCTTTACCGACGACCACTTGAAATGCGTTATGCCAACTTTCCGATAAGTTATTCGTGCGAGCTTTGCCCTCTAACACGGAGTTATATTGATTCCACAAATTAGGCGGATACCGTGGAAGGCGATATTGAATCCTTAATCGTACTCCGTGGCTGCTCCGCCTTCTTGCACCAGCGCGACGTATATATGTACTCTCGAAATAGGCCACGATAGGCTCAATTTCAACAGGTAAGTCGTCGCGTATGCGTGCAAAATGAGATTGTACTTCATCTACTGGGACGAAAGCCAAAGCACAGAGCACTTGAATACCTTTTTTTATTCGTGGATCAGTAACATACTCGTTTTGAAGTCCTTCTTGCTGAACGCGACGATACACACTTTGGCGTAAATGAAAAAAGCAGCATGAGACTATTTTACCAAACGTTTTTTCCGCGGCATTCACAATCGCTACTTCGAAATCAGTCATTAATTTAGTAGGTAAGTTTTCAAGACCAAGATTGCGTCCCTCTTCTGCAATAATTTCGAAGATTTTGATGTAAGTTCGTTCTTGCTTATTCTCCACAAGTGCATGTACGAATGGTAAGCCAATCTCCTGTGCTTTATTATTGATGCCAACTTGAGTTACAGCTCCAAGAATAGAAAAAATTTGATAAAACATGGACGGTGCCATTTTAAATGTGCCGTCAGCAAACCACGTATGACATCGGAATAGCCGTTTCAAATTGTCGGGCGAGGCAAAAATAATAATTCTACCGAGGCTTTCATCGTGCTCGTCATCACGATAAGAATCGTACAGGAGAAAAGGATGCCCGCTTAGTGTTTCCGTATATTGTTCGGCAATCTCTTCAAAATCGGACATTCGGATAGGGTTGGAAGGCGTTTCAGTAAGACGAGCGCGTGAAATTTGTTTTCGCATATTCAAACGGTCTGGAAGTTCGTCTAAGACTTCTACAAAGTATATGTATTCATTCATAAAAAATATTTGAGCTTGTCAATAGTTTCAATCAATTTTTCTACCTGATGGAACTTGACGCAAATGTTTACGCATTATCTGAGCTGGAGGCATTTCTGGATGCTCCTCAGCAGTTCTTTTAGCTGAATTCAAAATTTTCAGCGCTTTCACTTCTTCGCTGTTCGGCGCATGAGTATGTTCAGATTCATCCGGTCCTCGATGAACAATTAAGCTGTTTCCGTCTCCAGTTGTTACAGCACGCGCATTGCACTCGCCTTTATTTCTACAGTTCCAATATCTCCGAAAATCGCCAGAATGTTTGTAGTATAAAAAACCGTCAATATGTAAAAAAACCGATTTCCTCGCACGTATTAGTTCAGCCATTATTAAGTTACTTCCAATTTACAAATTACAAAATTTATTTACTGCCAATTTTAAAACGTACAACTTTATAATTTCGACGATGTAACCTACATTACGATTCAAAGACTGTAATGAACGTGAAGGTAGCAGTTAAACAAATACAAAACATGCAGAAACATAAACCAAACGTAAATTTAAAAGTATTCTTGTTCTTAACTGTACACATTATTTTGGGAAATACTAAAATTTTGGAAAAAAAAGTACTATTGGAAAAACGGTTTTGGGGAAAATAACTTCCGGGAAAAAAAGGCTTTGGGAAAAATGGTTTGGGAAAAGTGTCTTCCGTTCGATGCACTTGACGCGCTTAAACGCGAGTGATTGATGTAACGAGCGAACCGCGCACCCTGGCGCTATCTCGTGGCTTCCGAGTATAGCTCGCGAACGGGCATGTTCGCTCAGGGAAGCGTCGCGGCATCGCTCGCGCGCGTTTTCAGTTTCCTTCCCTCGAATTATAAATAGCTCGACGCTAGATATCTCGACGGGATAACGGGTTCGGAGGTGACGCCGAACGATTTGGCAAACGACGCCCCGGCGAGCCCTCCTCTTCGCACTTTCGTCGCGTCGCGGGA